TAGCATGCTTACACTTTGCAAGAGTTTATGCTTTTCCAATACACAAAAATTCAAAGTAACTCTACTAAATGACATCACGTTATGTTACAGTACCATTTACAACTAATTTACCGACGGCATCTCCTATCCTAGTCTTCATGCAGTTAAGAACGGACCCGTTAAGCAAGTGCATCAAGGGCCTCGTGTGATAAGACAACTGTGAGTCAACCTGGCTTACTTTGATATCGTTCACCCTCCACATTCATTTCCTCTACGATGTATTCTCAATACATACATTGTTTATAACTATCACTTTTGGACCAATGAAAACTTATATAACTAATGCTTATGCTTACATTGCAAGTTTATAGTAAACAGTAATATGTCATCTGAATATGTATTTGTACATGTATTTCAGTGTAGCCTAGGTATACTCCATGACTTGAACCGCTGAATCTTAGAGCTGGAAAACTGTCCCATTACCAAAATAGGAATTTTGTAATAATCTTAATAGAGGTTGAAACTCACATAATAAAATATTATCATTTATATTAGAAAATTATATCATAAGGGGCCCGCCGGAGGCATGGTGGTTAGGAGCGCTGGACTCCCACATAGCCGACCACGGTTCGAGTCTCGAACCTGGTGGCTTGCTTTCTCACTTTTCCTCTTTCTTTCTCTCGCTCTGTTCCTCTCTGGTCAAATTAAAATAAGTAAATACATAAATAAAATAATTCTTTAAAACAATTAAAAAATTATGTCATGAAATATATTAAGAAATGATCAAGATGAAAATACAAAATCAAAATAACAAAGCAATATGCAATGCAAGTATCAATGCTGCTTTTATGACATCACCAAATTAAGTGCAGGTACATTTCAAATTCTGCCTAATCTTATTTATGTATTATAATAACTAATGTAAAGGAAGAACCGATTAATAATTATCCCAACATTAGAGAAATAAAATGACAGAAATGGAAACAACGCAAGTTTAAGTAGTTACTTCAGCTCAGGAGTGGAGCTGTGTACCCACATTCCACTCTTGACTGAGAAGGCAGTGTGCATGCTCACCTGACTGGCGGAGCTCATGTAATATGTATAGCTATATTATGTGAACAATTTAAGAACCTCCATCCACATAGCCGACCACGGTTCGAGTCTCGAACCTGGTGGCTTGCTTTCTCACTTTTCCTCTTTCTTTCTCTCGCTCTGTTCCTCTCTGGTCAAATTAAAATAAGTAAATACATAAATAAAATAATTCTTTAAAACAATTAAAAAATTATGTCATGAAATATATTAAGAAATGATCAAGATGAAAATACAAAATCAAAATAACAAAGCAATATGCAATGCAAGTATCAATGCTGCTTTTATGACATCACCAAATTAAGTGCAGGTACATTTCAAATTCTGCCTAATCTTATTTATGTATTATAATAACTAATGTAAAGGAAGAACCGATTAATAATTATCCCAACATTAGAGAAATAAAATGACAGAAATGGAAACAACGCAAGTTTAAGTAGTTACTTCAGCTCAGGAGTGGAGCTGTGTACCCACATTCCACTCTTGACTGAGAAGGCAGTGTGCATGCTCACCTGACTGGCGGAGCTCATGTAATATGTATAGCTATATTATGTGAACAATTTAAGAACCTCCATCCATAATTGATCCACACTGCATGTACTTCAGCAAGGATTTTATACCTACTAAGCAGATGACTCTATTCTTAGTTCTGGGGTAGATACAAAAATGAGAAAGATAGTTTCCGGACACCCAGTCTGTTACTACGTCTCAGTAAGCCTTGAATGGCTTCATCACTAAGCCAGTGCCATGGTCTGAGACGGCAGTAGGAAAAGGCTCAGTAAACACTTGCTGTGACGGAATGGAGGCCAGGTACGATTATGTAGCCGTGACCTGAGCAAGGGCAAGGCAGAAGTTAGCATACTAGATGGTTAAGCCAATATGTAAGTGTTACCTGCACAGCCTACAGATATTACCAGGGTGTGAAGAAATGGACAGGTATTTCCTTAACCTAAAGACACACTGAATCAACGTTAAACTTTCTCTTTCACTTACCTAGAATGCATGTCAGGGTACAAGTAAGAGCCATGAGTACAGGTAAGAGTCTGCTATGGTTTTTGTAGAGGGGCTAACGTTCAGAGTTTTATAGTTACAGTGATTACTAAAAATGTATTGTGATTGGATAAATGTTTCCACTTGACTCTGGATAACAGTAATACACATTCCGAGGAGGAAGGAATATTCTTTTGCCTTCTCCAAATCACTCAGTGAAATTAAGAGACCACTAGCGAAAGTTGCTGGACCAGCGAGAGGCCCTTGGTAGCTGTTAGTAAACACAACATGAAGGCCAGTGATGTAACAAATCAAAGTGAAGTTATCCTGCAGACAGAGTGGAGGCTGTCTGTCTGCCCCACTGGCCCCTTGTTCCAACTGTGCCCCCTTTTGAGAAAATGCAGCTGAAGGCAAATTGCAACACAGAAGGAGCTGCCTTCAGGGAATCACAGGGGTTATTTCTGCTTTATTTGCTAGACTACCTTTCCTTTCTGAAAAGAAAACTTAGATCCAATGACTGGTGTATCAGAGACTCAGACTTGACAGATGAGTACAGTGCACATTTTATTTTTTTTAAAACACCAGGCCATTTTTAAAAACAATGTATTTGTTGTATGTGTTAAAACACTGCCACTTAATAGGCAACTTTTCTCCCAAGAAAGGGATCCTTGAACTAGTCACTTTCAAGTCATTTCTACAACTTCCAGTTGTTGTAACGTATCACCAACAGACCGCCATCTGTTTGCATGTGTTTCATCATGACAGTGCTGTGTTTGAGTCATTTCATCTTAGGTGAATCACCTAATTTTATTCTGCCCTGATTATAACTATATGTACTTCTATTAGGTGTCTTTGATTCCTTAACTTATATTTTTTCTAATCACCAAACTGAATAGCATGACCCAAATCAACAGGTTATTTAAAATATATTTTAACTCTTCTTTTTATAAAACAACCAAACAGGAAAACTTTAATGATTAGGCTACACACCAGAGAGGTAGGGGGTTTGACAGACTGTATTGAATATTATCTTTTGAAACAAAACTCTATGTGTGCTTTGTTTCCAAATACTTCTTCCGAACCATAGGGAGAGCAGGTGCCATGGTTCTCTTAGGTTATTGCGGGAGGCAGACAGAGAGGAAATGGCAGAGACCCACGTGGGTAATGCAAGGCCCTGTATCAGCTCCAGAGGTAAAGGCTAGCCACTGTTAAGACGGAAAGTTCCCCAGAGGGGGAGTCCGACTTGACATTATGCAAGTCCTTTGTTTCTCTTCCTCCTGCTTCCCCGGTACAGCCCAGCAGAAGACATGGGGTGGGCGTGCTCGTGGGCGAGATTACCCCGCAGGACTACCTTCCTCTCTGGAACAGCCTTCCTCGGGCAGTGGGGATGACATTCACTTATCTGTACAGTAGTGAGATGATACCACACACCTCGTGGTCAGAATATTGTTTTGAAGAAAAGGTGGCATACAGAGGGGGAAAAACCCCTCACTTCTATCGTACATTAAAAATACAGATTCGACTTAAGAGAAAAGGATACACATTTTTCTTTTCTTGTGACACCAAACTATAAGTTCATCTCTTTAAACATTTCAAGTAATATGGTGACAAATAGCGCTCAGCCCTCTGCCAGGAAACCTGAACATAACAGTGCTGGCTTCCAGTGCAGTGATTTCTGAGAACTGAAGCAAATTAGCTCAAGAATCACTATTTCTCCACTCTGCTTCTTTTGGCTTTAAGTGGCTTTTGAAGGGAAAGTCCCCAGATGAGACACTTCTAACACTCCTGCAGAGATGACCTGCTTGAAGAACGGGCCGCCTGATTAACTATTAACTGCTCTCAATAGGATTAGATAATTAAGGACATTGATGACCATTAATTAGGAGGAGGGCACATTAATTTGTCACTGGATAAGGCCCTTACAATGATTTATAGGTTAGTGCTACTTGCAAATGTGAAGAGAAAGAGAAAAAGAGAGAGGACCATTAAGCCACCTGATCAAGTGGCCAGCTTACAGAGGGCAGAGGGTCAAAAAAGGGCCAAAGTGGTCACTTCAGGGTGAAGTCCCAAACACCAAAGCAGTGCCAAGCCACATTGACCATCGTGTGCTGATGAAGTCAGAAATATGCTAATTTATTGGTGGCAATTCTCTTTTTATGGTTTCAAGCAGTTAAGACAAGTGGCCTGCTTAAGAGCTTTTCATTTGAAAAGAGATTAAACAAAACGGTTTGTCAAGGCTGCTTGGCTGGTTTATGTCTTTGTTAAAAAAAAATTGCCCGACTATCCTGATGACTATCACATCACCCAAAAGCCATCTTTCTCAGAGCGTTTACTTCGTTAATAAATACATCAACTCTAATTGCTTAATAGTTCCGTGTTCATTTGCTCTTCCGCGAGATTAAGGCGAAATAAATCTTGTACTACCACCTTCTGTCACCCCTGCTCACATAAAGCTCGCAAGAAAGTTTCGGTGATCGGAAATGTGCTTACAGACACTCTATAGATTCTACTTTGCTAATTCAGCAGAGAAAGTGAAAGGTACTTTCATTATTAGTAAAGAAAAATGCTCTCTGAAAGTAGCTAAGAATCCTCTTTTTTTTCAGCCATACCACATCCAGTCCTGGGGAGCCTCACATTCCACACACAAGTAAGCGCAGCTCATTAACGTTTAATTAAATAAGCTTTCGAAAGCCTTGGAAATAGCATGTCATACTTATCAAGGAAGTCTGGAGCTTACCTTTAATAGACATTCAAAACAAAATCATTTTCGTTATACTCTAGCAATATACTACTAAAATAAAAGGACTGTCTAGAAAATTGTTACACCAAAAGAACTTTAAAACGTTTCACATAAAACGTGTCCTAAAAACTTCATTAATGTAAAAAAAAAAAAGATGCTATTTACCTCGAGACTGTAAACTAAAACATAACAATTCTCTTACCTCAATGGTGAATAGCTTCCTTTTTAATTTAAAAGCTAAGTCTTTGACATCTGATTCATCACAAATCAAGTTATTAAGCCGAGGAATCTGTCGTATGTGAATCAAACCTTGTGGGAAAAAAATCGAGAGGAAAAAAATTGCAAAATGCTGTCATCAGATGCATAAATTAAAGAGTCTTACAGCAGAATCCTGTAAATTTACACACAAGCATCCTCCCCTTTTAAAACAGGAGCTTACTACCAGGAGCAATGAAGCAAATGGTGTGATTATACTCAAGTAATCAAGCAGAATAAGATAAACAGAAATCCTGTGCGAGGAAAACTAATTGCACTTTGGTACAGAAGTACAGATGGAAAGAGGGATCTTAATTCTTGTCAAAACTGCAGCCGGTCTGTGTGTGACTTCCTCTTGTATTTACAGTAAGCAAATGCGGCTATCACCTTGCAAGCTGCCCACGGCACCACTGAGCGATCTTTATTTTATTAAATGCACCAGTAAGCAGCCAGCCAAACAAGGCTTATGGGTTACTGATAACCAGCGAAGCAATAATGAAAAGGATTTCATTTTGCACCTTATTAATTACTTCGACAAAGCGTTGAAGAAAACGGCATTCCAGGGCACTCCTCAGACCAAACATGAACCCCTCTGCCATCCCAAGACACTCATTTCTATGGCATGTTAGGCCTTTCTGTCGCCGTTTTGAGCTTTGCCACAGTGCTAGGTAAACCCTGAGCTTTGGGCTCTTGTCAGGAGAAACATCCGCTAATGTTTTCTGACAAGGGCACTGGATGGCTCTGGTGCAGCTTGATGCCGTTTCTGACTAAACTAGAGGTCATTTCCCACAAATGAAGACATGGAAGGGTCTTCTCTGCATCTTTCCGCCTGACGCAGCTCATATTTGAAAATCATTATCCCAAAGACAGTGACCCCTACATGTGGGGGAATAAGGCAAATTCCAGATTTGAACAAACAGGTAAATCTTACCTAGAGCAATGCTTCTCTAATACATATGTTTGTGTCTATCAGTTTTAGCTTAAAACAGTCAACCTCCAGGTACTTAAGTTTAGAAATGACCCCTTCAAAAATAATTCACTAACACCTCTGACAATTTTGAACTTAAAAATATATAAAAGCTGTTAATAAAAAGATAGCTTTTAGCTATAAACCAAAAATCTCACATATAGTTATTTAGCAAAATATACCTATTAGAAACAAGCATTCCATATGTTTATTGGTTCATTTCTCATTTTAAACTTGAATGTGCTTGGTCAGCTAAGTATTAAACAGAAGGCCTTAGAGAACGAATGAAGGATTTCCAAATTAGGTCCTTATTAATATAGCATTTACTAGTAATCAGAACCACTCATTACTCATTGAAATAACTGATCAATTCAGAGGTTTCAGCACAGAGAATCACAGCCTTTCAACTTGTGAAGTGTTTTAATCAGCAAAAAATGTTTTAGAATATAAAATATAATTTTACTAAACTCATAACCTCATAATACTTATGAGAATCAATATATATAATTTATTAAAATAGCATTCAACTTGGAGTTTTAAAAAAGAAAATGAAAATGATATTACATTAGAGAAATACACACATTTTCCCTATCACAGTGACAAGGAGATGCCCAGTGAGTTGCATGCACAGTTAAACTGGGCACACGCCAAACGCGCGCTTCTGCAAGTGAGCATGACGAGGCAGATGCTTATTCTCTTCACAGCTGACACTGTCTAGCCTTCTAGAAAATACCTAACTGGTAGGTTATGCTGTTTTAGCTATTATATTTTAAAAAGTGGTACTCTGACCTCATCAAAGCCCTGGCTCATTATCATTTAAAGTATCTCACACTCTCTCATCCTTTTTGTAGACCTCATCTGTAAACCATCAACAAAAGCTGTCATGATCTCACACAAGCTTGTTGCAGGCTTCAAATAAGCTAGTTAGTCTTTAGACTGGAGAATTCCATAGGAGAACAGTAGTTCTAAAATAATAACAGCAACGATTTATACGTGGAGACTTAAAGTAAATGGAAAGATGGCAGATGAATGTTGAAGTCTGTCCAGTTTTTCCATAATGCGCATAATACACGTCCACGAACTTTTTGAAGACCCTTTGTCTACACTCGGTAAATAGGTAAAAAAAAATATGCTATTCACTGCATTCTATAGTGAATCTAGTAGTTTAAGCCCAAGATACATAGACCAACTAAGACTTTACTATTCAATGGTTCTATGTAGAAACCTTTATTTTATAAATCTCTCAGATTAGACAAATGAATAAAATATTATGAAAAGCTTAAAATCACATAAGTAAAAAACCTAATGAACTTACCTGAGTTTATAACTAGGGTGCAATATTTTAAAATTTGTTCATAACTCAAACTAATGATAAAATGAGTAAACACAGAAAAGTCCAAATATCATCAAAGATGTTCACTTTCTGAAAATGTGATTGACTAGGAATTTTTTAAGTACATTGTAATACGTATTTTATTATAATAATCTTTGTCTGAAACAAACCGCTGTGCAAAGTTGTTAATAAAATGAACGTTACATTTATTTCAAACATGGCTGGCAAGTATGACAAATTTCATTGCAGCCATAAGCCACAGGGACAACGAAACGTCCATCTGACTGAACCATGTCTTAGAGCTTGGGTTTGACTCTTTTCAAACAGCACTCACAGTCTGTAGTCTTCACGCAGCTTCGTGATAAGCTGCCCCGGAAGAATGGTCAAAACCAGAAAACGTTTAACAGGTAGCTTACACAGTTAACTTCATGCCATTTGACAGCAGAGACTGGCTGGACAAGGGGCATGCAGGCCCCCGAGGCGCCCTTAGGACATGCTGTTCTGTGGGGAAGGTGCTACTTACCGTGATAGTCCTTATACAATGGGTTGGTTTCTCTCTCAGAACCAATGAAGGACTCAAGACCAATCACTGTATCTGCCAAGTGTGTAACACGAGCAATAACTGCTTTATTCTGTAAAAGATGGAAACAAAATACTCATGTTATCCCCCAAACTATGACATCTCTAAGTGCCAGCTTGCTGTCTCGACAAATTGTACTGGAGAGAGATAATCGACATAGGAAAATCACTTAAAAATTAAAGTGATTACATGCTGAAAGCTGGATGAGGTGCTTAAATGAAAATCCTGACCCATGTAGGTATGCTGTTCTAAGCTGAAGAGCTGAAAAGAAAATACAAGTGGGTAGAACACATAGATTGATTTGTTTGGGTAGGAAACATAAATTGATTATTCATCCCTTGTCTTAGAAGATAAGGCTACCCTCACTCTCCTACACTATTTTTTAAATTATGTCATCCATTCCCCTTTTGAAAATCTGGCAGACAGCCGGATTCAGAAGCAGTAGATGGTACAGTATGAAGTAGAAGGCAAGGCTCTCACTGTCGCCTGTCAGCTGGGACCGGGTCCCAGCCCTCCGACAGCTGAGGTCCTCTGTGACATATTAGAAACATGGACGGGTCCGGCTAAGAGGCTGCAACATGGCCAGCTCTGGAGCTGTCTCCTCCTTCCAGATGCTGCCATTTGGCTCTGGGGTAACAATGAAGGCAAAGAAAAAGTGGGCGAGGACTAGCACTCAGATCAGCGGCCTAGTCTGCTTTTCCTACTACAACCTGAGATGGGCTGAAAGACTGCTGAACAACCCATTTTATCGGGCCGTCCGCAAAGTCACGACAGTTTTGCATAGAAAAACAGAGAAAAGTGTGTCATGACTTTTCCCATGACCCAATGAGAAATGTAACATTTGGCCAGATTAAAACAATATATTAGTGTATGTTCTGAAATATAAGATGTCCAGTTATTAAGTGGCAAACATTCTAAAATACTCAGAATTCCACGGCTATAGAAATATAATCACCAAATACCTGCATATGTTTACAAATCATTCTATTTAATGGAAATCTAGTACTCCTTTTAGCCCAAGGCAAGACAATAGGTCAAAAAGCTATGACTGGGGCCGGCAAGTGGCATGGTGGTTAAAGGCGCTGGACTCCCACATGGCTGACCATGGTTCAAGTCTCGGACCTGGTGGCTTGCTTTCTCACTTCCTTTCTCTCTCTCTCTGTCTCTCTGATTAAAGTGAAAAAAAAGAATAATGATAATAATAATAAATAAAGTTAAATAAAATAATTCTTTAAAAAAAAAAAAAGCTATGACTAAACGTTATCACACCTTAGAAAAGTTTCTGCACTGTAGAAAAAATGTTGCTCACCAAACTTGACATTGATAATTTGGAAACTGCCATTTTATATGTTCATAATACCTCACCACTTTAAATTAATCTTTGAAGAAAATGATGGAAAATGTCAAATAGTCATAGTAAGTTTCTGGTCAGATGCTATGTCCCTTTTTTGGAAAAGAGGCCAACGCAAACCAAAGTTTTCATTTTTCTAAAAACTTGGTTGACTACTGAGCTTACTGCTATTCCTCTTTCTTAAATCTCCTTGTAAAAACTGTAAGAATATTAAGAGGCAGAGGGTGGGGCTGGGGAGAGGCTGGTTAGTGTTATTGGACTCATTCTAAAGACATCGTAGCCCGTGTCACCAAACGCTCTGCTAAAATGACTGGGTTACTCACACCTAGGGCAGTATTTGAAACTCCTCCATAAGAAGGAATGGGCGTTTATATAAAGAACATTTCAGCCTTTGAATCAGTACTCTTAAAAAGAACCAGTAAAAACAATTACACTTCATTGTCTCTGAAGCTTTCAGTCACGTGGGCACACTAAGTATAGAAAAACAAACGTAAATGGGAAATGCCTGTTTTTTCCAAGATAAGACAATTTTTCATTCAGTGGTGAGAAAATAATCCAGATTGATTCCTTACTCTCAGTCCTATGCCACAGGGGATGGTCCTCCTCCAGGGCTAACGGGGACTCAGAGGCCATAAACATACTCCTCTCAATATTTCTTTAGCCAAAGACCATATCAAACTCATCCAGGTTGGGTTTCAGCCAGTTATTCTTCACCCAAACAAAAATGTCTGCCAGACATTCCAACAGCTGGGAGACAGTTCACAATGAGTCAACTTGAAAATGATTCATTGTGCTGAGGACTGAACAATGTTGGGGTGGGGGTGGGGCGTGGCTGGTCTGGTAGTGAGGGGTGAGAACAAGTGGGAGATGAAGAGCAACCATGTGGTTCCCCCACTAAGGAGTATCTGGGGGAACAACCAGCAGGCTCCTAGCTTCATTTTTAGGATAACCTCAACTGGGAAGAGCTCTCCTGCCATGGGCCCTCAGATGAACAAGCACTCATAGAGACCACTGACAGTATTTCGGCATCGAGAAGGTCAGACTCCCTTTATCTGTAGTAAAAGACTAAACCTCTGTAGCTGAATACCTGATTCTAACACGATAGAAGTCAGCATTCGTTAGAACTACACAGGATTTCTGGGATTTAAACAACTAGTTCTTTCTCAATTATACAAGTAACAGAAATTATAAGGCTTCAAGTTTAAAGATGTGAGTGGTTAATTTCCATTCGAGTAGATAAGCAAGATATTGTGTGTTTAAATAGTCAATCTGACATCTGTTTATTCTATTTTGAGGATTTCCTTCTTTTATTTAATGTTAAAATCTACTCATAAGTCATTTAATAGACTGATATTTATCAATTCTACAGATGTTTTTAAGATAGTTTCTGAGAGATTAAAAAAGTCAATTATACATGTTGAAGAAGAAAACTACTCAATTCTAAATATAGACGGCATATGGGACCTGGGTTTTAAAATTTCTCAAAAACTCATTCATATATTTCTAAGTTCCACAGGTTAACATAGTAATTATTATCTACAATTTGCGTTCTACCTGAAAAGCTGTTATAAAGCGGTAGAACAAGAATAAACCTTTCACCATACTACTGCCATAAAATGAATTAATTTTAAGGGACCTTACTCAAGTTTAAAGATGTGAGTGGTTAATTTCCATTCGAGTAGATAAGCAAGATATTGTGTGTTTAAATAGTCAATCTGACATCTGTTTATTCTATTTTGAGGATTTCCTTCTTTTATTTAATGTTAAAATCTACTCATAAGTCATTTAATAGACTGATATTTATTAATTCTACAGATGTTTTTAAGATAGTTTCTGAGAGATTAAAAAAGTCAATTATACATGTTGAAGAAAACTACTCAATTCTAAATATAGACGGCATATGGGACCTGGGTTTTAAAATTTCTCAAAAACTCATTCATATATTTCTAAGTTCCACAGGTTAACATAGTAATTATTATCTACAATTTGCGTTCTACCTGAAAAGCTGTTATAAAGCGGTAGAACAAGAATAAACCTTTCACCATACTACTGCCATAAAATGAATTAATTTTAAGGGACCTTACTGCTTTCTGCACATCTGTTTTGCAAAATAGTTTCTCTACTGTGGCAAACCAGACTGACTGTGAAAGTTGTACAGGTGTATGAGAAAAATCTATAGAATAAAGGGAAATGGAAATGGCTGAAAAGTGATGTCTAAGTTTCTGACTAAAATAACCTTAATTTTTATTACCAACGCATTCAATCTTTTAGTTATCTGTAGGAGGATAAAAGATATTTGTACATGTTAACATATGTATTTTTAAAAAAGGTTAAACAAGTATCAAAGATTACTTCCGTACTTCCAAGAGTCATAAAGAATATGGTCTATTGATGTAATCTTTCCTTAAAACCATCTGTCAAAAGGTCTTTCAAATCACGATGATAATAGTAACTGGTCTTTCAGATACAGGCAGGTGAATTTACTTAAAATAATCTAAAATTAACAGCTTAAAAAACATTACAAGCCTAGTAACCACAGTTTACTTTGGCAGGAATACACTACTGATGATAAATAACATGACCCAGCAGTGCTCAGAAAGCTTAGCATAATATCTGAGCAGAGGCCTTGAAATTGCAACTTCATCTCACCCTAACGGACGCCAAGTGTTTTTACATTGTCAGCCAGGGTGAAGAACCTCTTTAGACTTCACTATACACTGGAGAGTGGGAAAGTATAGGTATCTGCACGTTAATTACGAATGCTCAAACTCGAACATAACTTCCGTGCTCCTCTGGAAATGGGAATGCTACGCAGAGTGCGTCAGTAGGGGTAAATCGAAGGTTACAGAGCGTGTGGCAAAATGACATCACTGAAGTACGAGCAGGGACACTGCCACCCCTCCTCCTTGCCCATCTGGACATGAAAATCTAGGATGGATCAAAAACCCTTCTTACACTAGACACATCTCCCTCGCTCCTGGGTGAGAGTTGTCAGCTCTGGACAGGAGCCAAGACGTGACTAGGAGAGAAGCCAGGAACGAGGAGCGCCAGTGTCCAGGAGTTTCAGGTTTGCTGGCAGCCGCGAACTGCATTGTGCTGAGTTACATAAAAGGTTCTTAAAACTTCTGTTGCAGTGGAACTTGTCAATTAATTATTTAAATTTAAAACATGTCACATGCAGTTTCAAATAAGCAAGGCAAACCAGATTTAGTCCTTTACCTTCTTATTCTAATTTTAATTTCACACACAAGAATGTCAGCATGTCAGAGCTTTTGTCTTGATTGCGCCTGGTTTGGTTTCACACACTGTTTCCCGCTGCCTGTATAGAGTGCTAACACACTTTTATTACGAGACCCCCAAATCCACTGAACAAATTTTATGTTAAAAGATTAATTCAATGCCTTTCAATTCAATTCGGCTCATAAAGCAAAATTATGCATTCTTCTAAAATATAAAAATTTATCCACTACCACTGAGCGCTCACACAACTTCCTAATAAAAGCAGTTCAGACACTTACGTAGTTACCAACTACCTTAGGATACCTCAAACTCTGAGTATTTCCTTATTTTTTTGTACCCAATTACCTCAATCATATAAAAGATGCACTTTGTACCAATACCAAATCTACTTCCAGGAAAAGATTTTAATGAGGAGATTAAAAAATAATGAACCAATAACTCAATAATCAAGAAGCTCGAAA